AGATCCATCCAGATTCAGCTTGGTCTTGTAGATCCATTTCACACCTATCACGGGTTTATCACTTGGTCTGTCCACTAATTGCCAAGTAGAGTTTTTTTCAATCATAGTGATTTCTTCACTCATAGCTTTCTGCCAAGATTGATCCATTTTTGCTTCTTCGAAACTCTCTGGTTCAGCAATACAGTAGTTGCAGACTGCATAGATCTCATCTAAACTTCTTAACTTTAATGGAGTTGTTCCTGGGGAGGAACCCTGCAATTCTTGTCCTTCTGCATTTGAAGTAGTGGACTGAGATCCTTGTGATGGTGTAGAGAAATCGTTTTGACTTCCACCTGTTGTAACAGGTTCATTTCCAGATTGCATAGTTGCTTGTGTTCTTTCCATAGTTAATGGAAAAGAGATGGTGTCAATCTTCTTGGTTTCCCAATTCCATGCTTCATTTTCTTTGAACACCACATCCCTTGAGATTATAACTTTATGTGTCTCAATGTTGTAGAGCCTATAGCCCTTTTCACAGCTTCCATAGCCTACAAGAACACACTTGATACTGTTGACTTCAAGTTTGTGTCTTAATTGAGATGGTATCTGTGCATAGCAGATTGATCCAAACACCTTCAAGTGCTTTACACTTGGTTTTCTGCCACTAAATGCCTCAAATGGTGTTTTCCTCTCGAGTGCTTTAGTTGGACACCTGTTTAGAAGATACACAGAAGCATTGACTGCCTCACCCCAGAAAGAAAGTGGCATTTTCTTATCATGCAACATTGACTTGGTCATTTCAACCACAGTCATATTCTTCCTCTCAGCTACACCATTCTGCTGTGGTGTGTAAGCCACTGTCAGTTGCTTCTGTAATCCTGCCCCTTCACAGAATTCTTGGAACTCCATGGAGGTGAACTCACCACCTCTGTCACTTCTCAGTCTTTTGATCTTCAAACCCCTCTGAAGTTCAACCATTACTTTGAACTTTTTGAAAATAGTAAAGACTTCACTCTTGTTTCTCATGAGATAAATCCAAACCATCCTGGTGCAGTCATCAATAAATAACAGAAAATATCTGTTCTCACTGAGTGTAGGTGTTTTCATAGGACCACACACATCTGTGTGAATGAGTTCTAGAGGTTGGCTAGCTCTCCATGCAGTTCCAGTTTCGAAAGAGTCCCTGTGGTGCTTCCCTAGTATGCAACCTTCACAAGGTTCTTTTGTTTCCTGTATCTCAGGCAGTCCAGTCACCATTTGTAATTTCTCCAAGTTCTTCAAACTGTGAAAGTTGAGATGCCCAAACCTCTTGTGCCATAACCACGAATTCTCAGCAACACTAGCTTTCAGAGCAACTGAGTCAGTGTAGTCCAGCATAAGTGGAAAACTTTTTTTTTCAGTCATGCCAACTTGTGTTACCAAGTTTTGAAGGCTTCTGTCATCAAAGATCTCCACCATGTCATCCCCAAAGAGTAAGAAGTAACCATGTGCAATCATTTGTCCCACACTAAGGAGATTTTCATCAAGGCCAGGTACTAGTATCACATCCTTGATGAATCTTTTTCCACCCTTTGTCTCTAGAACAACAGTTCCTTTTCCAGTAGCTTCCACAAGTTGACCATTTCCCATTTTAACTCTGCAATTGAAGCTTCTGTCAATGTTGACCAATAGTGATTCATATGCAGTCATGTGATTACTGCATCCACTGTCAATGTACCAGATACCTCTTTTATTTTCAGTTCTTGCAACACTACACGCATAGAAAACATTTACTTCCTCTTCTTCTGCTCTATGTGCATAGTTGACAGCTTGGTTCCTTCTTGGATTACAGTCCTTTGCCATATGACCAAATCTTTCACACTTAGTGCATTTGGGCTTTCCCTTATACCAGCAGACACCATAGTGTAGTTTGTCACATATTTTGCACTTAGTTTTAGTGGATTCACTGCTAGATTCTGATCTTGGTTGTGAAGTGAACTTGTTATCCCATTTCTTCCCTTTTCCTTTCCAGAATTTCTTTTGATTTGAGTTGCTTCCCTGAGTCTTGTAGCTGCTATCTTTGTCAGTCACACTTAGGCTTGTAAAAGCTTTTTCAGATAAGCTTTCAGAGTGCATGTTTAATCTCTGCTCATATCCTTTCAGTGTACCAATCACTTCCTGAACCTCAATAGAATCAAGGTCCTTAGTTTCTTCTATAATGGATGCAATGGAATCATAGGATTTAGGCAGGCTTATAAGTATCTTTTGCACTAATCTTTGGTTTGATAGTTCTTCACCAAGAGTTTTCATTTGATTCACTATATCAGTCATCCTAGTTAGATAAACAGATAGAGATTCGCCATCATTCATTCTAGTGTACTTGAAATCTCTCCTTAAACATTGTAGTTTGACAGATCTAACCTTTTTGTCACCACGAAATTCTTGTTGAAGAACATCCCACGCAGCCTTGGATGATTCAAAGTTTGAGATTCGAGGAAATATTTCGTCAGAAACTGCCCCTTGAATGATGCCAAGAGCTTTTGCATCTCTGGTTTCATTAATCTTCATTGAGCTCTTAACTGACTTTTGATCTTCATAACTGGAATCATCACCAGACTCTGCATTTTCGATACCCTTGTCCACCAAGCTCCAAAGATCATATGATTTGAATATGGTCTTCATCTTGATAGACCAGAAATCGTAGTTGGACCCGTTGAAGATGGGAGCCCTCAGGTCTCCTCCACTGCTCGAAGTAGCCATGTGAGACTTGTAAGAACAGTAAGGTTTTCAAAAAAATCTGGAAATGAGTTTCCCTCCTTTTCAGTAGTACGAAGCACACAAAACGCCCAGTTCTGAATTCTTGATCAGAACCTAAGCTCTGAGGCCATGTTAGAATCTTAGAATTGTTTTGAAGTTGATATTTTAGGAGGGAAAATGTTACACGGAAGAGGAAAGGATTTTCTTAGGAATGTGCAGAGCTCACTGCACAGAGAACATCAGCACAGATATTTTATAGAAAATATCAGAACAACACTTTCTGTTACAAGCAATCTTAGCCCTTAATTCATAAACAAAAATCTAAGCCTACACTTGTCCTATGAGAATAAGTAAAGACTTAACAGTTGATCCTTCCTTGTTAGCCATTAGATTAAAAACAACTTTCATTTGATTCCAATAGGATTCGCTTCACGAGACCCTGGATGCTCTATTCGCACCCTACCTTGCTAAGATCCGCTGTGCCCGTGAGTTGGCTCTCAACACTGAGGGAGACTCCACTCCAACCCCTATGTTCGCTATCAGTGATGGGGGAGTTTCTGATCCAGCCCCGACGATTTCCGATGACACTAAATCAATCGATCTCGGTCATCCCAGACTTCAAGGAAGCGACAATCCGCCAAGACTTCCATCGTCAATTGAAGTTGCTTTCGTCCCGCTGTTGCTTTCGTCCTTACCGTTGTTACAAGCCATGGCAACTTCGGCAATTAGGTCGCAATCGATTGCTTCTTCTGTAGCCAGTGTTGGAGAACAATTCACAAGTAAACAAAAATAAAATAAACAGAACTTGAAATTCTAATATTTTATTTACCAAATATACTTGATGTGCAGAATGAAATTATACAATAAATACATAAACTAATATAAAATATCAATGATACTAACTTGATCACAGAAGGTAGAGGCTAGCGTAAAAGCTATGTCCTTCGAACAGTATTTTCGTCCCACTCTTGTGCTTGTGGTTCTACAACGTCTGCTCGACCAGGATACAACTACCTAATTCTACAACCCGCACTCGATTATAGAACTCTAGCAAATTGCTTTGTGTGTTTACTCTTTGGAAATTTTGTACGAAAAATAAGGAGGAAGAAAAGATGATTCTCACTTGGATACTGTGATTGCAGATATATAGGCTATTTCACAACCTTTCAAATACCTATTCAGTGTATTTGAAAGTACACAACTCTTTCTAATAGCTGTGTCTTTTAATTAAAACGTACAACTCTTTCTAATAGATGTGTCTTTTAATCAAAACGTTTTTTAATTAATAAATTAATTAAAAAACTTAATCTAAAAATTAAAATTAATGAATTTGATTAATTAATATTAATTGTAATTAGGCTATATTATATTTAAGCTTACAAGAGGTCTCAACTAGGGTTGGGCAAACGGGTCTTAGGCCCGCGGGTAGGGGCGGGTATAGGCGGGTCGGGGCGGGTACGGGGCGGGTCCTGTTTTTAAATAGGGGGAAACGGGGCGGGGCGGGCCTAGGTAATGTTTTTCTAGGGTCGGGCCGGTTCCAGATTTATAGAAAAACGGGGCCCCGAACCGGCCCGTTTGTAATTGAAATGGACGGCCCAGATTGAATTGTTACAGACCTTCCAATCATGACCGTTGGTTTTAGGTTTACCCTAATAGAGAGTCTTTGCTGTTTGCTGCTCTCTCTCGAATCCTCGATCGACCTCTCAACCTTTCCGTCTCTGACTCTCTCATCCTCGATTTTCTTCTTGAAGTCCGACATCACCTCACCGTCTCTGCAACACTCCATCACCTCACCGTCTCTGCAACACTCCATCACCTCACCGTCTCTGCAACACTCCATCGCCGTTGCCAGTTCAGGTGAATTCTTTAACCTCTTTTTTTTTTTTTTTTTTTTTATAATAGGTTCTTTAACCTCTGATCTGATGATTCTGATCTGATGTATGTAATCTGTGCTCAATATATTGGGATGTTCATGTTTGTTCTTGCTGATTTGGTGGATTTTTTTGATTTTTTAGCTTCTTTAACCTCTGATCTGATCTGATGTATGTAACCTGCTCCTTCTGTTCCACACGGTCGTCATGTATGTCATTGTGTTTCTTTACAGTTGGTAGATTATTTCCATTACACTGATACCCTGTGTGGTTTGAATACAAAAGACTAAAATTTGTCATTTATAATTGTGAATCTGCACCACTAAGATTTTCTCTGTTGTACAGTGGGCACCATGTCATGCTGTTGTTTCCACACCATTGCTAGTTGCATTTTTTAGCTTCGTTTGTTTGCTAGAAATGCATGAGATTGAAAGACATGGCCACCTATCTGATTTTATCGTGTTGTTTCTATATTAAGGGCTGACACTCTTGAAGAACTTGGAGCTATCTGATACTGAAGTTGGAAGCAACGGGCTTCGTCATCTCTCAGGTGATGATTGATTGCATTGCATCAGAGTCTCAGACTATTGCATGGTTATGATCTGAATGTTTTCCGAGTTCAGTGTGAGGCTGTAGGCTATACATTATGCTGAAGCTTTGAATTTACTACCTTGTTAGTTTGTGGCTCAAATTCTTTGAAGGTCTCATTAGTGTTCAAAGTTAAACTGCACCTCATAATTTTTCTGCTAAGCAGTTTGTAAACTTTGTATTATTTGGTGCATGTTCATCTTTTTGAAAGCATTTCTTTTTAAGCATTAATTTGGGTGGCTGTTATCACTTTCAGGTTTGAAAAATCTCGAAAGTTTGAACTTGTCGTTCACCCTAGTAACTGACAGTGGCTTGAAAAGGTTATCTGGATTGACATCTCTCAAATCACTTAATCTGGATGCTCGGCAAATTTCTGATGCTGGACTTGCAGCTATTACAAGTAAGGATTTTTGTGTATTTTTAAGCTGTAGAGGGAAAATATTGGCTATTTGTGTAGAAAACCTTGTGATCGACGCATTGATTTCCACTTAAATTAATCATGTTCTTGAATTCTTCTAATCATAACTATATAGACAGTCAAAGAATTTATGCCGAAGGTGGTGCAGGTCTTACAGGATTGACACATCTGGACCTATTTGGTGCTCGCATTTCAGATTCTGGAGCAAACAATTGTAAGATCTGCAATAAGTAAGGTACCATATAATAATTTGTTTGCTTACTGGATGGTTATTTTTTGTTTGCTTACATATACATCTCCTTTGACATTTGAAGTAATTATTCTAATTGACAATTTCAGGTATCTCCTTTGACATTTACTCTTTTGTATCTCATATTTTAGTATAAGTTTTATTCTAAAGTGATAGTTTATATGGCTTTGATAAAATTTATCTTCTACGTTAACAAGTCTTCAAGGAAATATAAATTAATGGGATTAGAAGTTAGGACCTGTATGCAATGCAAGAATGAGAACCGAGGCCTTCTGCCTGCATATATATATATATATATAATATAATACATATACATATACATCTCACACACACACACACAGTGACACACACAATAAGTACTTGGCCAATATTGCAGAAAACAGTTTCTTTAGCAGCTGCATGTTACTGCCCTGCACACGATTTGAATTTTGAAATCTGAATTCTGATTGCATTTACTTGCATTGCTGCATTTCCAAGAATATTATATGCATTTTCTTGATTGTTTGGGAATTGGTTTCAGATTCCGGAGCCACTTATTACTGAGAAAGTTTGGAAATTGGAAGATTTTGAATCATATCCTGCTTGCTTACTGGTGAGTTCTTGGTTTGGAACTTTGGATGGTTATTTTTTGTTTTGGATGGTTATTTTTTGTTTGGATGGTTATATTTTGTTTGCTTACATATACATCTCACACACACATTACTGCTGCATGTTACTGCTGCATTGGATGGTTATTTTTTATTTCTTGGTTTGGTGAGTTCTTGCTTACTGCTGCATGTTACTGGCCTGCACACGATTTGAATTTTGAAGTACATGAGAAAAACTGCAAGTGCATGCATGCTGCTGCATGTACTTTAAATTATGTCTACTAGATTATTTGCTATTTTATTTACATGGAGATTATGCTTTTTTGGGTTTAAATTATGTATAATGTGTAGATTATGCTTACATGGAGATTATGCTATTTTATTTGATTAATGAATATAGTTCCATTATTTAATTTTTACAGATTTTTACATAATGTCTCAATCTCAAAGTCAAAGTACCCCTAGTAGTACTAATGTAGCATCATCTACGGCTACATCACCATGTCCTCCACAACCCACACAGTCAAAACCATCAATGCCTCCCCCAAACCCCTCATCCTCCAGAAAAAGAAAAGCACCACCTATTCCAAAGACAAAACAACCAACTATAATAGCTTCACTAGAGAGATCTTCTTCTGAGAGATCTTGGGTTTGGGATCATGTCACTAAGTGTACCGTCTCGGAAATACAAGAAGTAGAAAAGGATGGAAAGAAAGAGAAGGTGGAGGTACAAGTATTGAAGGCTAAGTGTAACCATTGTAGCGCCCTTTTTGCATGTGATACTAGTGGGGGTGGGACTAGTACTTACATTAAACATATCAATAAACATTGCAAGTCATATAAACCAACTGATGAGTTGCAAAAGGTTCTAGGTAGTTCTGGACCTTCTGGGGATGTCAAAAACATGCTTGTTGCTAAAGGGTGGAGCCAAGAAGAAAGTGTGGAAGGTATTATTGAGTTTATTGTGATGGAGGAGGTACCTTTTAGTATTGTGGAGAGTGAAGGGTTTAGGCGGATGATGTGCAAAGTCCAGCCTAGATTGCATGTTCCATCTCGGAGAACTATCGTGAGGGAGTTATTCAGTATGTATGATAGCATGAAAGAGCAGTTAAAAAAGGAGATACACAATCATAGAGTGAGCTTGACTACCGATACATGGACAAGTGTGCAAAATTTGAACTACATGGTGCTAACTGCTCATTTTGTGGATGATGATTGGAATATGCACAAAAGGATTCTAAACTTTTGTTTGATTTCAAGTCATGAAGGCAAAGAAATAGGGAAGATGATTGAGCAATGTTTGGTTGAGTGGGGGATTGAAAAGGTAATGTGCATTTCAGTTGACAATGCATCGGCTAATAAGGTGGCAATTGAGTATGTTGTTCGTAAAATGCAGAAATGGCCTAATAGTAAAGTGATTATGAATGGCAAGTTTATGCATGTGAGGTGCTTAGCTCATATTATCAACTTGGTAGTGAAACATGGGTTGAAAAGATTAGAGACAAGTGTGGATGCTCTTAGAAATGCCGTGCGGTTTGTGAGATCAAGTCCCCGAAGGTTAAGTTATTTCAAGAAATGTGTGGAGAATGAGAAGTTGGATAGTAGGGGTCTAGTTGTTATGGATGTGCCTACTAGGTGGAATAGCACATACATGATGCTAGAATCTTGCTTGAAGTTTAAAAAAGCATTTGAAAGGATGATCGAAGATGATGAAGCCAATATATACACCACCTATTTCAGTGAAAAGGTGTTTAGTGATGAAGGAGAAGAAGTGGCGGGTAAAGGGAGGATTGGACCACCTAAGGAGGAAGATTGGGATAGTGCAGAAGTGTTTGTGAAATTTTTAAAGGTCTTCTATCTTGTAACTTTGAAAGTTAGTGCAACTAAGTATCCCACAGCTAACACAGCTGTTCATGATGTCATTGCTGTGGAAAACGAGATAGAAAAACTTTTTTTGCCTGAATATATGCAAACTGGAGGACCTGCAGAGTTGGTGCTACGTGATATGGCATTCAACATGAGAGCCAAATATCGAAAGTATTTTGGTTCAATTGAGTCCCTTAATCAAATATTTGTAATTGCCCTTGTCTTAGACCCAAGGTTCAAATTGAGGCACTACATGCACTTGTGTAGAAAGCAATTACAACTTCTTGATGAAGAGATTGAACAAAAAAGTAATCAAGTGAAGACATTGTTGAAGACAATGTGTGATGAGTATGCTAGTGAAGCTTTCGATTCACAAACACAACAAAAGGGTCGAGAAGATTTAGTTCTTGACACTTCTTCTTCAAGGGTAAAACAATCATCTTCTAGTGTGCCAACAGAAAATCCAATGATATTTAGTCAAATCATGGATGATTGGGAAAAGGAACTAGAAGACACCGAGGATATTGCGCTTGCACATGAGGTGGATAGGTATCTCCTTGACACTGTAGAGAAAGTACCACATGGTTCACAATTTGATGTTTTGAAATGGTGGAAGTTGAAAGGGAGGACCACATATCCCACACTTGCTTTGATAGCGAAAGATGTCTTGCCAATTCAAGTGTCAACAGTTGCCAGTGAGAGTGCATTTAGTGGAGGAAAGAGAGTAATTGATCCTTGTAGATCATGTCTCCTTCCTCAAACAGTGGAGTCATTGATGTGCCTTCAAAATTGGATAAGAAGTGAACCAATTGGCAGCATTGAGTATGAAGCAAGTCCCGCGGAGCTTGAATTTTATCAAGAGTGTGAAGAAGGTAATTATCTTGTTTTTAATAGTTTGGTTTATAACTTTATATTAATTGGTTTACAATTAACGGTTGTTCTTTGTTGTAGAATATAAAAGAAAAAGAGCAAATACTATATCTACAAGTTCAACAATCTCATCAAGTGTTCCTGAAATTGAAACAACTCAAACGAATAAAGGAAAAGGAATTGCGGTAATATTTCAAACTCAAATGAATAAACTTTAAATTTCAATAATTCAATTTGAATGAGGATAGATAATATGATGTTGGATGTTAAAAATGTCATGTTTATATTCTATTTTTGTTTACAGATTCAATGAAGATTGTTGTTGGAACTTGGGTGTTGGAACTTGGATTTTCGGATATTTTGTATGTTGATTTAATTTTTAGATGTTGGAAGATGTAATATTATTATTTTGAATGTATTGTTAATTTATAAACTTGGATGTTGGACTTTGTATTTAGATTGGATGTGAATAATGGTGAATTTGTGCAAAATATGCGTAAATGCAGTTGCAATCTGTGCAAATCTGTGCAAATCTGTGCAGTTTGCAATCTGTGCAGTTTTGTGCAGATTGCAATCTGTGCAGTTTGCAATCTGTGCAAATCTGTGCAGTTTGCAATCTGTGCAAATCTGTGCAGTTTGCAATCTGTGCAGTTTTGTGCAGATTGCAAACTGTGCAGTTTGCAATCTGTAAATATGTACAATTTTTTTTTTCTTTCAAACAACCAAAAAAAAAAAAAAAAAAAAAAAAAAGGACCCGTGGACCCGGCCCGAACCGGCCCGTTTCAACCGGGCCGGGTAATGACCGGTTCTTATATTGAAAAATGTAATCCCCGGCCCGGCCCGCCCCGTTTCCTTTGAACTTAGGTCCGGTCCGGTCCCTTCAAAATTGGGCCCGGCCCGGCCCGTGCCCAGCCCTAGTCTCAACCTCTAACAGCCAGAGCTCTGACGATGGGCACAACGGTAGAGTTGCTACCAATTGGCAATGAATCAGTTGTACCTCACGCTGATGCAAGTCACCAAACAATTCAAAAACTTAAGATGCACGATGGAGACGGCAACCCACTGCGAATTCCGTCGACAATCCAGACCATTCCATTCCGGCGTTGCTCTTATGGTCACCAATTTTAAGAGCACTTGCAAATTCTCCGGTCAAGCCCCAATTGAAAGAGTTTGTGGCAGCCACAATTCCACTGCAACATTTTGCGAAAGCCATGCCTGTTGCGATGGTGACCACTATGTCGTTCCCATTTTCAGCAATCATTGGCAAAATTGCGACCTTATCTCAACTGGTAGACCAGGAAACCAATAGGAACACCACAAAACATCGCCATACGGTATTGTGATATTTGATTTACAATTTGTCAATAAGGAAGGCCAAATGGCATTGCCTTCTGCAGTTTGTTCTGGCGTATTATCTTGGTGTTATTTTGGTGATATATGATGTTTTATTGACTAAAATTAATGGATGGATTAATTGGTATCTTGTAGGAAAATTTATGAAGAAAGATTTTCATGCATTGGCACTGTTTGCTGAAATGTCTAAAAGAGAACGTGCAAACGTACATGTGCTTAGTATTATGAGTTACCACATGGTTAAGTCGATACCTTCTTCGCATATTTTTCATGATGAAAGAAAATTGGAGGTA